GTGTGCGGCAAGAAGTTCAGCGCCTCCTCGAACCTGAAGGCGCACGCGGTGGTACACACGGGTGAGCGGCGGTTCCAGTGTGCCGAGTGCGGCAAAGCGTTCGCCACCTCTAGCCACCTGAAGACGCACACCGTCGTGCACAGCGGCCGGCGGCCGTACCAGTGCGAGATCTGCCTGCGCGAGTTCTCCGTCTCGTCGAACCTACGGTCGCACATGTTCATCCACACCGGCGAGCGACGACACGAGTGTCAGGTATATACATAGGCGCCCGCACTCGACGATAGAGGGCGCTGGAAGTCGAGGAGACTGACATGTGGAAAATGGGCATGATTAAGAAGTCCGCACTAGAGATCTATCGAACTTTTAAGCAGGAAATTGCCAAGGAAAGGATCTATGGTAATACTCGGGGTGGTTCTCTACTGTTTGAGGCAAGGACAGGAGTACTGCGAACCAAGACATATCGGGCCAAATACGAAGGGGTAGACACAGTATGCAGTGCGTGTGGAGAGGAAGAAGAAACTGCCCAACACTTGATAATGTTCTGTAAAGGGCTTCACTCTATAGTTCAGGATGATGGCGCAGAGTTTTTCAAAGCACTGGGGTTTAGGGACCGGGAGGGCAAAATAGACTTTAAGCGGGTAGACTTAAATAGAAGGAGGTTATCTGATTGGTGGCTAAAATCAAGGCACGAGTGAAAATTAAACCATTCACTGCAAAGTACCAATGCTCAAACTCACATTTTAAAGAAAAAAAAATAAATCTAGTTTTTGGTTCATTAACTATTCCGGCTTGGTGGCGCTAGCCACCGCCCGATCTAAAGGGTACAGCCATAGCCATCCATCCATCCATTCATCCAGCAGGTGGGTGTAAAGTCCGCCCTGTACATTGAAATGAAGGGAGGGAAACGCCGCGACGATCCCTCCCCATGAAAGGGAAGTATACGCATTCCTATGATTATATATGTCCATGTCTGGTGGTTTACATTCTGCATAGGTTACAACCTAATAAAAAAAAAGTGCAGTCTCCCTCTCCCCTCCCTCCACAAAACCACGGGCACGGATGCCGCTCACTTGTGACAGTCGTGCTAGTGTGCTTCCGCTCGAATCGTATAAGTACTTTTTTCGGCTAATGTAAATACTACAGTAGTTAAGCGTTCGTCGTTGTGATCTAAAACATTCCGTTTGGCTGAGCAGCCATGTCAAACTCCCTTACGATATCCACGGAAGCGTTCAAGTTTCCGTCTTAAAACCAGCGACGCAAACGTGTCTGTACACGGAATATCAATGATCTTGTGAAGCCCAACGTTGTGAAGCCAATGAACGTTGTGAAACCCAACCAACGCCTCGTGGGCCCTCGTTCTTATCAGGGAGAACGGCCAGGTTCTTGAATAAGCCCCGCCGCGGTGGTCTAGTGGCTAAGGTACTCGGCTGCTGACCCGCAGGTTGCAGGATCAAATCCCGGCTGCGGCGGCTGCATTTCCGATGCAGGCGGAAGTGTTGTAGGCCCGTGTGCTCAGATTTGGGTGCACGTTAAAGAACCCCAGGTGGTCAAAATTTCCGGAGCCCTCCACTACGGCGTCTCTCATAATCATATGGTGGTTTTGGGACGACAAACCCCACATATCGATAGGTTATTGAATAAGGCATGTTGTGTTTTGGGCAGAGACTATACCATAGCCTAAACACGTAGTTGATTACTCGTGCTCTCAGTACCATAGAGTAACATAGTAACCATATACTATGTTACTCAATATGTCAGTACTATGTACTCTTAATCGCTGAAAACCCTTTTTCTAAACAGGACGTGTATTTTTAATCTGCGACAGTTTGTTGCTCTCCCATAATAGAGTACAATGTACTCTACATCGTCGAACATTTGTTGCGAACACTAAGTTGCTTGTTGAGGCTCACGGAGCGGCTTTATGCTATCCTATAGTGGAGTACCAAGTACTCTAAATTGATAGCCACTTTTTTTGTAAACACATGATGGTGGATACTTCTGATTCTGTAAAGTGGGACAGCTTATTGCACTTCCATAGTAGAGTATACACATCGTACTATAAGTCGTCAAACATTGGTTTTGTACACACGCGAAATCATGAACAAAGCACCAGAAATGCGAACATAAGTTCAATCAATCCTTGCAGTCCTATTGGGTCTGTTTATGCTCTCGCAGTACGGATGTGCATCAATTTCTGTGTGATGAGGACTGATGGGACGGCTTTCTGCTCTCCCATAGTAGAGTACCAAGCACTCAACATGAACATGGTTAAACATTTTTTTTCTGTGCACGTTGCTTTGTTCCTTGCAGTTCGACTGGGAATGTTTATGCTCTAGGGTACCGAGTACTCAGAATCATTAAACACTTTTCTTAAACACATACTCCAAATCTTTGATTGATACGTGGGGTTTAACGTCCCAAAACCACCATATGATTGTGAGAGACGACGTAGTGGACGGCTCCGGGAATTTCGAACACCAGGGGTTCTTTAACGTGCACCCAAATCTGAGCACACGGGCCTAAAACGTTTCCGCCTTTATCGGAAATGCAGCCGCCGCAGCCGGGATTCGATCCCGCGACCTGCGGATCAGCAGCCGAGTACCTTAGCCACTAGACCACCGTGGTGGGGCTACTCCAAATCGTTAAACACTTTTATATGGTAATCTAAATCGTTCACTATATGTATACTTGTTTTAAAAACACTGGTACTCTAAATAATTGAAGTTATCGGTTCTGGATTTTGGTCAATGATTTATTTACTGCCCCTTCTGTACGCACGCCTATTGTGTATAATATCGCTGCTACTGGCGTGACGCAGCACTCCCCTCTCACGAAAATATTTCTGACAGCGCCCCGCATAACACGTATACACGTAGCTTATAGTTTTCCGATGCAATTCAAACTCGAGGTTATTGACGGCAGGCGTGTGTGTCAATTGCCCGCTTCCATTGTCTTATGAGGGGGTTTGCACTGGCTCGACTGTCTTCCATGGTGAAGAACGTCAACTATAGGCCAACTTTCTGTCGTTTTTACTCAAAATTACAAACAGCGCACGAAAGACGAATGCCAAGCATCCGGTTTTGCTACGTGCTAAGCTTCACCAATTTTTTACTCATAATAACGAACCAACCAGCCAGAATCTGCAACCCACTTTAACAGTATAACTTGATACCGCATCTTGAAATGAAATGAATGAAATAAACAGATTTTATTTCTCGAGAGAATACAGAAAAACGAAGCGAAGCTAAAAGCCATTCGGCCTGACGTGGCTTCGCTACGCGAAAAAAGTTCAGCAAACAGTGCTACATTGAATAATAGTTATCACAATACAAGGAGCAGCATAATAACAGAAACACAGAAATAGCATAAAAGCAAAAATAGGTGACATATAAGTACAAAAAATAGGCTGCATAGACAAACAGAATCAGATATCGAGGCTCTTTTCATTACATACAAAAAAAACGCATACATATTGATATATTCATATAATACACTCACATATTAATACATACATCTGCCCATATGTACGTTCATGCTACTGTACATACACGCGTTTTGTACCTGAAGGTGAGAGCATATGTGGAACCTAGCCAGAAGTTTATTGGAAACATGATGTTTACTACACTCAATTAATGAGGAGATGTTTTATGTGATATTCGAATTGCGTTAATGAGAGGTTAAAATTAATTGTTCACCTAAATGATTTATAAGCTGTGTGGCACAATCTAGAATTTTAGGAACGGTTTGCACATTTCACTTTACAACGTTTAGAGAGTGTTACCCGCACGGGTGGATTTCGGGAACAAAAGGGTAATCGAGAATCGGGCATATATTATTTACGCGTGCCAGTCCACGATCAATTTAACTAACAGCGCGGCGCCCGTCACCGCTTCCGACACGCCGCGCAGGTGTGCCGCAAGCAGTTCACTTCGTCCAGTCACGTCAAGACGCACATGCTCACCCACTCGGGCGAGCGTCCGCACAAGTGCGACCTGTGCGCCAAGTCGTTCGCCGTCGTCAGCAACCTGAAGGCGCACCGCAAGATCCACCTGGGACAGAAGGACCACGCCTGCGACGTGTGCGGCAAGCTGTTCTACACGTCGAGCGACATGAAGTCGCACCGCACCATGCACACGGGCGAGCGGCCGTACCAGTGCGACGTGTGCCACGAGCGGTTCGGCAAGCGCTCCAACATGAGGGCCCACATGCTCACCCACACCGGGGAGCGACCCTTCCAGTGCGGCCGGTGCCCCAAGCGCTTCGCCAAGGCGTCCACGCTGCGGACGCACACCGCCAAGTGGCATCCACCGCAGGAGTCGGCCGTGGCGACCCCGTCCGCTTCGGCGTTGTCGAAAGACGGAGCTAGCGCCAGTACTGCGGCACAGACGACGTCTTCTTGTGGCGAACCCTCGCCAACCGTTAAGAGCATGCATCACTACACGACGACAACGACGAAATCTACCGGTACCGGACACCCACTACCTATAATCTATCTTTACATTGATGAGAGTGCAAAATGCACGCTGAAATTCGATCACTGTTGAGTTTTACTCAGACACACATGTGTGCGCGGAATTCCCCGTTAGCATGTGCGTGCGCAGAATAGTCTTTCAGGGGCTGGGGGTGAGAGTCGAAGGTTTATAGCGGCGCCCGCCTCTCGAATTGGTAAATTATAATCTGTAAGGCATATTCCCCCCCCCCCCCCTCCCTTGGTGACAAAGGGGAGGGGCGCCCTATCACCTCCTTTTCGGCCCCGTTGGTCGAGTTCACAGACGATATGCTTCACAATTAAAGAAAATGAAGCGATCACGTGCTTCTCACAATGACCTATAGGCTTTTGGCCCATTGCTTTCAGGGGGTAATGATGGGAAGTTAACAGTTCTTGGATTGCAACGCCAAGGATCCAGCTCCCATTATCGTCGAAAACCTGCATGGTCATAATAACGCTTTGCACAATATAAGGTTCAGGCCTGATTAGGTAAAAGCATGGGGCAAAGTTCGCACCCTCCTCTCCCCCCTCACAAGTGATTAGGAGTGTGGGAGAGGTCGCCCTTTCGCCACCGATAGTAGCGGTAGCGCGTGTGGAGACAGCAGTCGATTAATTGGCAAGGTAGTGGCTGAACAGTTATTCTCTTACGTAGATCCACGCACGTGCCGTATTGATAGCTGTCGCCTCTTGCCTTTATATATGGGCAGATAAGTATTTGTATGCACTTTCTTTTCCACGGCAGCGCACCTTTTTAGATTAATTGTTTGCTGGCAGTAGCGCAGTGAAAAATATTCTTTTCGTGGCTCAGACTGGGCAAAAAGGGTGCGGGGCAGTCAACGATGCTTTTTGTATGTTTGTGTTTGCGTTTATACATGCTACTATAAGCGTGTCCACGGGTTGGGGGGGGGGAGCCCCGTATAGTCGCCACAATTTGGAGAGGAGGTCCTGTGTAGGGGAATCCTGCTGCTCACGCTTATGTGGTCCCGACTTCCCTATCGTGTACTTGTCTTTGGTCACCATTCTTTCGCTACAGTTGTTGCTCCTGCGCGCGCTGCAGGTGCCAGCAAATCACCACCGTGCATAACTTTAGCCGTCGCTGCTACTGCTGAAGACACACCCACGACCAAAGAAGCTGACACACGTCCCGAGAACGCGGCCCCGGAATCGCCACACCCGAAGGAAAACGGTTTCGGTGTAGACACCAATGACTTCGCCAGTAATCACCCGGAAGGACCGTGCGGTCCACAGGGCTGCGATGCTGTTCCTGCGAACCACCTCCAAACGGAAGCTGGCACCCGCGTTGTGGCCAACGGCTGCCGTGCTACCAGCAGGAGTGGACGTGTTGCGGTCGCTTCCTCGAACCAGTATACGGCGCTGGCAGCTATATCCTATCGTCGTAGCCCCAGCGGGAAGCGTCCATACAAAGAAAGACGGCGACGACGCGTCAAGGGGTGCTGCAGCTGTCAAGGGCCGTGCTTTTGGGGCCGCAGTTCCGCAGTCTATGCAGGCTCGTGCAAGCGGGCTCGCGCTCGGAAGAGAGTCTCGCGGGGCTCTGAAGGCCCTCATTGTGAAGGTTGAAAGCGCCGATGCGGAGACTGTTCGCACGACCAGATGAAGGAATAGACGTCCACGCATTTTATTTTGGCGGAGTCGAAGACGTGTGTAAGAACTTCCGTTCTGGGTTTCTGGAAACTTTGCCGCACGTCAGAGGCCGACGGCGGGTTTACAGGTCGCTGCCAAAGATCATGAGCTGCGTGGAGACGCGTCCTTGTCTTCTATTCCCCTATTTGGGCTTTCCTTCCTTCATTATTATTTTCAATGTGTCAAACGCTGTTTATTTTTTTCGTTCTTTGTTTTTCTTGCCTGTGAAAAATTGAGTGGAAAGTAATGAGACTCCCGAAAATCAAGGGAGCTTCAGGTGACATTCCTCGTGTGCCAGTTCAGTGAATGCGATTACGTCACAAGCTAGCTGAACGAGACGCACACGAAAAGGCGAAAAGAAAAAGCACATCAACTACAGGAGTGCCGTAAAAAAAGTATATATTGTTTCGTGTAGCCTCTCTCTCTCTCTCTAAAGTTCTTGCCTTTTTAAACGAAGCGCGATGAACAGTGAAAATGGCCACAGGCTACGTGCATTCGGTCAGAAAATATCGCATGGAATAAATCAGGTTGGGAGCTGCGTGCAACACATCTGGAGCTTCAAAAAAGAAAGAAAAAAGCTATAACATGCAATCGCGAAGTGCGTGCAGTGCCTTCAAAGCTGCTCATGCACACACAGACACACTAGCCCGGCCAACGCGGCTCGGAGGTAACGTGTTGAGCCATTACCGCCATGAGGCTTCACGGTGCGTTGGCTTGCCAAAGCAGAATGCTCTCTCCCAGTTCATTTCTCTCGTTCGCGTGAACCAGCCTGCCGTAACGTCATTTCCTTTGACCATCGGTGTGTAGAGGGGGGAGGGGAGGGGGGTAGTCATCTGAAAGGATCGGGCGCGAAGTCGGCCCCATACGTTGACTTAAATAGGAGGGGGGGGGGGGGGGTTCTGAAGAAGCTTTGCACCACCTGAAGGCGAACCCTGAGCACACGAATGACTTCGACTACAAGTAGTTCAGTCATAGTTATTCCTTGGTGCAGGGGAGGACTGCGCATATCAGCACTCTGTAATTTGCCGTCGTCCAGCTGACCGCTCATTACCGAACATCATTACCCCAACTGTAACCTAGCAATCAACTTGGAAGTGTGGCAGTTTGGGCTAGTTGGTATGACATGACGATAGTTATAGCGCGAGAACAGAACGACGACAACGTGTCCTCCCTGTCTCTTTGTCGTCGTTCTGTTCTCGCGCTATAACTATCGTCTAGCAATCAAGTTGCGTCTTGACGCCACGCAATGACACATATAAGTTAGAAATCACTGGAGACAAGCGTGAGGATTTCTCAGCGATGTTCTAGAGTAAACTTCAGCCGTTGAAGTCCTTTGGTATTTATTAATTTATTTAGACGTGAAAACACGAGAAGACAGGGGAGGCGGACTATATCGGGAACTAACGCACCGAAATGATGAATTATTCAATCACAAAAGAGACAGAACGAAAGAAGAGTTCGAATTCAACGATGGTTCCCTGGGTGCTCCCAGAATCATCTCTGGGCTGTTGTAAACATGTGTTGATGATGATATGTGGGGTTTAATGTCCCAAAACCACCATACGATTATGAGAGACGCCGTAGTGGAGGGCTCCGGAAATTTCGACCACCTGGGGTTCTTTAAAATGCACCCAAATCTGAGCACACGGACCTACAACATTTCCGCCTCCATCGGAAATGCAGCCGCCGCAGCCGGGATTCGATCCCGTAACCTGAGGGTCAGCAGCCGAGTACCTTAGCCACTAGACCACTGCGACGGGGCGTAAGCATGCGTTGGTCCTTAAATATGCACTATCAGTACAGCGATCAGAATGACATGTACCTTGTTAACAGTGCGTAAGCTCACAGGCAACAATGATGCTGGACAACCCCACGGTAATTTTTGGAAAAAGCTTTTTTGGTGTTGTGGTGCCTTTACTAGCAAAAGGTCGACGACCGGAAATGGTCGTTGACCTTTTGGTACCGTCATACTGTTTCGACCTTTTGGTTCCGTCATACCTTTTGGTACCATCATACTGCAGTGCAATCACCTACCGTATTTCCTTAACTTGCTAAAACTCTCTACTCATACATTATTCACATGTTCAGCACACTCCAGACAGCCAACATAAACGTTTCTCAGGGGGCTCTTGAAGCCATCTATTATGGTACATACACAGCGAAAACCAACGAAAGCTAAGAATTCTTGACTGCCATTGTTATTTCAGCGAAACGTTTCCCCCACTACCCCCGATTTTTTCTTTTCTTTTTTTATTCCTGAAATGCGTCTTTCGTTTCACTCGCCCAAATCGTCACGGTGGCTTCTCCTTCGACCGCACCCCTCGCTTCCATGGCACAGTAGCCCCCTCATCTTCCTTTGTTAAGGAAATCAGTTCGGATCTTCAAGAAAACAAGTCAACTCGTCGAAACATCGGTTCGAGTGCACAATCGTATTTGGAGTTTTTTTTTTTTTTTTTTCTCGTGCGCTTCTGTTTCGCTGACCGGAAAAGAAGTGCTCCTGCTCGAGGACAATGCAAAAAGGGCTGTACAAACACACGTAGATAAAAAAGAAAGTCTCTACAGGTGATTTCAAAATAAACTTGAAGTTTGGCGACGATGACGGTATCAACAAAGTCTCTGTTATCGACATTGTCTTTAAAAGATATTGATTGCCAATGGTTCCAGCACATCAACTTTTTATGTAACATGAAGATAAAGAAACGCTGTTTCGAAACCGAGTTTACTTAAGCAGACCGACCTAAACCTAAGCAGCTGCCTCTTTTGAACGCAGATGCAGTAACTGACTTACATTGGTCTATATAAATGTATGCGCGTGGTCATACCGTGACGTCACACGTCTCGCTTTACGCGCTGTCGTAAACGCTATACAGGTGCAACCATTTAAAGCGGCAGCTGTATGGAAAGCACTACTTGTGCTCTGTGCGTGAATATGCTTTTAGGAGATGTAGCTCGGTGATTAGATAAATTGGCGAAGATTCGTACGTGTTTGGAGATACTGCGCATCGCCTTTTCTCAATATTGATACAGTATCTGGGGTTTTGTGCCCCGAAAGCACGACGTGACAATGAGGGACGTAGTAGAGGGCGGCGTAAATTTCGACTATGTGGTGTTTTATTAAAGGGCCCCCAAACAATCTTCGAGAATACGAAGAACGAGTGCCTTGTTCTCTCCCAGCACCTCGTTTTGGCGGGGCAACTCGTGACGTCAGCAATTCGTTCACGTGACGTCAGGATGAAACAAGGTCTCGATTGTTCGCTATGCGAGATATATCTGTTATGAATTCCAAAAGGACTTGCTTTTGGGCTAGTTGGTGCATACTTGGTGCAGAAAAGACTGAGGCACACACACACAAAAAAAAAAAAAACATAACGTGAAGCAGGAAGAGCAGGAGAGAAGACAGAACAGCGCCAACTACGAACTGTTTAATGACCGTCTAGGAAACGCACTGGAAAGAAGACAAAACCGCGCATGCGTGCACAGCCAACAAACATCGCACAGCGTCATGAACAAGGCACTAAGTTATCGGAGAAATGCGTGTGATTCCTGGTAGGAGCAAAAAACAAACAGCTAGAGAGCTCTTGGAAGCCTATTTTATCAAAAGAAAGGGCCCGATTGTATCAGTGATACATCTATTGCGTTGTACGCAACAGAAATGCATTTTTCTGGATAACTTAGTGCCTTGTTCATGACGCTGTGCGATGTTTGTTGGCTGTGCACGCATGCGCGGTTTTGTCTTCTTTCCAGTGCGCTTCCTAGACGGTCATTAAACAGTTGGTAGTTGGCGCTGTTCTGTCTTCTCTCCTGCTCTTCCTGCTTCACGTTGTTTTTTTGCGGCTCAGTCTTCTGCACTGTTATGAATTGTCACCTTGGCTGCTTTGCTTGTTCTCGCACGACTATCGCGCGTGATAAAGCGGTTTCACTTCGTTCTCTGCGTTTGCGACCGCGCAAGCGGCGGCGTGTAGTCGAAAAGCGTGGAATCCCGACCGATCCGATGCTTTGCGCTGACGTTCCGCGTGTTACCCGAATAAGTGGAGAGGAGGAGATGGCGCTTGCAGGAAGGGCAGTGAAGGCGAAACACAAGAGTACTGTCTCGCCTTTGAACTCGGATGCGGTTCAACCACGGTGAATACAACGCACAGTAAGTGACCGCAGATGCCGCGTTTGAAAACGTGGTTTTCGTGTCAGCCGCCGAGCATCGTTACCCACCGCGATAGACATCACCTTTTCTTTTCAATTTCTTTTTTTAAACTTTTCGTTTATTTGCCTGTAGATAGATTACTTCATAAGCGCCTGCACCCCTTCTCGACGACTCAAGTTATCCCAAGTGTTATCGAAGTTATATCCAAGTGTTATACGCAACAAAGGAACATTCTCGTTGAAATCGTTGCGCTGTAGTGGCTCTGGTTATAAGCAACAGGTGATAAAAGTTTACGATACTTCAGATGTCAAAAAAGAAAAAAAGAGAAATATAGGTGAATCGTCGCTCAGCAAGGAAACGTACCTTTATAATTAAAGGTTTCGGTTAGTTTAATCGTTTCCGCGTATCGCCGTCTGGCGTAGCAAGATATTGCAGGAGTGAACACATGCATCAAACGAATATTAGATTAAACAACAACAACGGTTTCGGTTAGTTTACTTGTTTCCGCGTATTGCCGTCTGGCGTAGCGAGATATTGCAGGAGTAAACGAATGCATCAAACGAATATTAGATTAAAACAACAACAACACTGACAGAAAGGCTAACGAAAAAAAAAAAAGAAAACGGAATATCAGAGGATGATAGTTGATTGATCAATGTAATTGGGTGATTGCTCTACAGTTCGTAATGTGGTACGGTCACTTCATATCGGAATAACATGTGGAAGAATTCGATATCCGAATAAAATCATTATATGAATTGAAATGGAACAATGTTAAGATTTGACTTCTTTTAGTAGACCGAGAAAAGCTTAAAAAAAAAAAAACAGGTGTACCGGTGGTTACTTTTCCGTGAGCAATATTATGCAGCAGAACAACGTGGTCACAGTAAGACTATGGGCCTTTAACACTACAGCTGGATACTTCTTGTGATATACACAGTTATCTGTCGAAGTTTAGGCGTCATGCGGTTAGAGAGCAGAAACACACCTTCACGCACTCTCGCAGTTCCAAAGAAATGGCAGTTTGCAGACGAACTACCATTTTGCGCACTTCACATTCCAGATTCAGTTTCGTTTTCGTTTCGGGCACTCAGCCCTTGTCACATCGTACATTTCAAGTCATTTGTTTAGGTAGGGTCATCGCATAACCCATTTTTTGTTCTTACTATCCTGTATGCGGGTCTCGAGAAACAGAGAACAATGTTTTTAATTGCAGAAAATTCACAAAAAATTCACAAAAACTGGCTCCTTGTACCTTGCGCACCGCTGGACGTTCTCTATTTCAGCAGTCATGTAAGTTAAACTGAGGGTAAAGTTTTGAAAATTAAGCACAAAGTCTACAAAGGTGCAATTCAATAAAGAGACCGGAATATAAAATGAATTTAAAAGTTTCGCGAAAACAAAGTAGTCGGAAACAGGTTTTTCGCTCACTGCAGCGACGAACTTTTCGCGCGGCGTCTGGCAACGCTGAGCTGTTGTCCTGGGAAACCGGAAAGCGTTGGTTTCTTTTCGAACGTCACGCGCTTCTCCCCCCCCGCGCATGCTCGGTACGGCGGCGCAGGGCGGCCATTTTGAGCTTACGACAGAGGTGTAGGAGGATGTTTATAAGTTTTGTGTAGTGCTAAGATTTGTGACAAAAATAATGACGGCGAACCCGTGCGGATTATCCCAAGATGTGTCATAAGTCCCGTGGGATGTTCATCTTGTGGGATTGAACTCTTACGGCTTTCGATGGGAACGCTCTTGTCGTAAAACCTGATCTCAATCAGGTAAGACAACCGACTTTTTCCTCGGCGGAGTTCAATATGGCGGACGCCCAGTCTTTGTTCGTTCTGCTGCCTGTTCGAATTGCGTTGCGGCGTGCCATGTGACAGGCAACTATCGCTCGCACGCTGTTAAGTCCAGACTGGTGCCGTAAATAAAGGTCCTGATTTTTTTAACGCTCAAATTCTGTGCATTTGTTTATTTCTCGAGTAGGAGTGCCTTTTTCGAAGCTCTCGAGCTAGCGGAGTGCCGGCGACTCGTCGTGTGAATGCTGCTTTTCGGCCGATTAGTTTCATTTTGATTATTGTCGCTTGCTATACTTCATACAGGTGAGTTGGATTATTTTGTCGAGTGACATTGCAATCCGCTCAAAAGCGAGTCCGATCGACTTGCTCGGTCGTGGTTGCCTATGAATGGAGCGTGTACTCGAGAAAAAAGTTTTTCAACTGCACGCAACTTTCCGTTGCATCGAAATTCGTCGATCGCGCCTTGTTGCAGCGCAATAACGCTTAGCCGGCTCGTGTAACGCTGCATTGTCTCAAGCAGGCAGTGTTTCAGACTGACGTGACTTGGAAAGAAAAGTGGAACAACGCAACTCGCAGAGCCAGACCCGGGGCGGTCTTCTGCGAGCGCCCGCATCGGAGCGCGTGGTGCTGCGAATTCGACGATGGTTATCGGCGATCGCTTCGTTCCATCGGCTTCCTGGGAATAGTTATCTTGTTTGTTTGATTGTTTGCTTCGTTTTTTTGGGGGGCACCCAAGAATTCTACCTTGTCTTGTGCGCCGCTGCCGCGACCTGCGCGATAGCGGACGACGTGAAAGGACGTCGGCGCGTAGTTTTTCCTTTTTTTTTTTTCTCCGGCTCGCCTTTGGGACTGTGATCATTAGTTGCGATGTCGTGCTAACGCATTCTTTATTGTACTACTTGCGCCTGTAGAATAACCTCACTGTCACGCTGCGTATTACTTAAAAGACCAGGAACTGCCTCGAACTTCGGGGGGAGACGGACACGAGTGACGTAGTCGAGCGAGCAATCGCCGGGCGTGATTCTTCGTCGGTTGCCTTCTAGCGAGATTTTCCCCGCGTGCTTGTTTACGTCGTGCTAGCCGATAGGCCCCGCACAAGCGTACCGAGTCTGATGGGGGTGCGCTAAATGTGCCCGTACTTCAACTACGAGTCGGACTCGGTAGGGGCGATGGTCGACACAGCGGAGCGCGAATCGTCGGCGGCGGGGGGTTGCATTCGCGCTCCTTTCCTAGGCGTGGTCGCGACGTGGCTAGGTTTTCTGGACTTCGACCGTCCGTCTCCAGCGCTGGGGTATTCCTTTTCGTCACCAACTACGTTCTCCTTCCCTGAGTCGCACTTTGTTTTTGTTTTCTTTCTCCCTTCATTTTGACTGGAGTGACCGTTCACGAAAGCGAAGCATTGACGGGTCGAAACGCGCTGGCTTCGTTTTGTTTCTTGCCGCATAGATTGTGATTTTTTAAGAAGCGGTGTCGGCCTACGTGGATTGTAGTAGCCGGAAAGAAGTGCACACGACGCAGCATTTTGCCAGCACCCTCCGTTGCCCCATTCATTCGTTGCGCGTAACCCGTGGAGGGAGATAGAGCGCGCGTGTGGCACACAGCAGCCGTGCTCTCTTCTCTCTCTCTCCATGAGACTTCACATGCGATGAAGCTCGGTCTATGGGAAAGAACAGAAAGCCCAGTCTCGACGTCTACACCGTCTCGCAATTCCGCGTTCTTTTCCCCCCTGGAAAACTTGGCAAACCTCCACTGTTGCGTTGCAGAGCATGGCCAATTAGATTGGAAAGCGTGTCACACGCTTTTTTTCCCCTGAGATGGCATACTAAATGTTTCAGGGATGATCTCTAGGAAAGAAATCGGATATACGAGGTCGTCCGTTTGTAATATGCTGTGGTTGGGCTTGGTGCGTGCTAAGTCACGGCACGATCAAGCACTGTATGATGAAATCAGATTCAAGCATTGCGCTCGTACAGCGAATCCTCCGTCGCCCAAACATCGGTAGTTCTAAGAAACGTGAATTGATACTGCAAATTATACAAAAAGATCAAAAGCTGCAGTGACCAAATTGAATTGAACGATGCCCTAAATGACGCACGATGGTGCTCTAACTGCAAATGGTGATTAATTCAGACAAAACAGTCGCGATGAAAGTCGCAAAAGAGAATTCGCGCCTGCCCTTCCATTATGGTTACAACAACATCGTGCTACAATATGTAAGGCAGTACAAATACCTTGGTGTGATTATAAGTTCCGATCTTAGTTTGACTGTACACATAGAAAACGTAGCAAATAAGGCCTTAAAGAGATTGTTTTTCCTTAAGTGGACACACTGTGACACGCCGATTGTGACACTAAGCATCTTGCATACGTCGCACTTGTCAGACCGATCTTGGAGTATGCCAGCGTAATCTGGTTCCCCTTCATGGGCAGCGGTATCAGTACGCTTGAGAATGTACAGTGTAAAGCGATTACATTTATTTTGAAGCCGTAGCGCTGCCTTGACTCCCCAACTGAATTACTACGCCGAGCTGGTTTGCCCACGCTCGAAAGTCGAGCAAAAATTTGTCTGAAGTTTCTATATCAGTAATTGTACAATTGTTTTAAGATAGACCACACAAGATACGTGAAAACCAAGGCGACACTGTCACACACATGATCACACACTCCGAGAATGCTCGTCCAACAACAACACATTCTAATATTCTTTTTTTCCTAGATGCATTCGAGAATGGAATGCCCTTGACCAACTTGTAGCCGAACAGCGTACAGTTGATGACTTTATAGAAATGTTGCAATATACACAAAGCATTTGATACTAAGCCTGATAAGATAGTATGCACTGTATTTTCATTTGCCCCCTTGTATTGGGTTGATTGTCAATATTTGTATTTACACCAACTGTGGCAAGTCTGTAAACTTTTCTCTACCCATTTTTAGGATTGTATAAAATTAATATTGCATCCGCTGTCACCTTATTCATGCATGTAGTTTCCTTTACTTAACTTGTAATTGTTCATCAATGCTGCTCGGACCAAATTGTACTGTATTGTTACTTTTGATGTGGCTGCTGCTTGTGCTTTCTTTTTTTGCTCCCACTCGTGTAAAAAACCCTCCAAAGGGTTGACAGTATGTTGGAAATAAAATAAACAAAGTATGTCGGTTCAGGAAAAGAAATTGAGGGTCCCCTTGAGGTATGGGACTTCTGAATTTTTTTTGCACTTGTTAACTGTGTTAAAAATTGATCTGTGTCCTACACATGGTGTTTAGGTACACACTTCATTTGAACAAAACCAAAAATGTTAGTATTGAAATTCCACAATGGACATCTTGCACTTTTATTGCCAGTGCATTCAGGCAGAGAAATCCGAGTACGACTGAGCAAATGTATCTAGCAATGTCTACTGTAGAGGAACAATTGATGGCCTTCAGAGCTCGTGACATGTTCTTTAGAGCACTCATCTCTGCGCTCCTGTCATCTCTCTAAGCTTTGCTTACTCACTTTGCAACAGTTACGTGCTCTTCGAAAGGTCTTAAACTTGTTTCATCTCCGGCCCAGAGACCTAATCCATTCATTTGAAAGCTTTCGGTTGTCTACACAGTGGATGCAATTAATGCTGTAGAGATTTCAAAAGCCTGAATCAACCGGACGTTTCTGAAGCTAGAATTAGATTCCCCCGGTGCCCCGATTAAGGAAAGTGGATATTTTCATTGCAATTTGTGGTAGTTGGCAAGATGAGGTTTCTTTGAAGAAACCATTATGAGCTCTGAAAGCCATCAACTGTTTCCCTACAACGGACATTATTTCTCATTGAGGTTGCTCGGTCGTGATAAGATACCTCTGCTGAAATGCTCAGCTATAAGAGTGCAGGTAGTCCATAGTATAATTGCAATATTTTATCGTTGGTCCAATAAATTGGGTACATAAATTGTGTGTACGAAGACATGTAAAGAATCCGGTGTTAATCAGTTCTTGTTTATTGGGAGGCTGCATTGTTTTATTGGAATGAATAATGTCATGAAAGATTTGGCTTGCTTGGTCTACGAAGATGGTGAAAGTTTGGTCTGTTCAAGTAACGGTGAGCGATAGTATGATCCGATGAAAAAAATATGCTTGTGGAAATAACTATCATAAATGTTCATATGTGCACAACATAGGCAATTTTGGTATCCCATTAACAATAGGCTGCAAGTCTAGCACAGTCACAAAAAACATGCACTAGAAGTCGCAGTTCAGTTCTATTTGTATTCTGACTGTAGGATCCTGTTTTCTTTAGCCTCTTACTTTTTAGCCTTTAGCCTTTTACCTTTCTTTAGTGGCTATGCTGGTGTTATGAAATGGCTGGATTGTTTAAGGAGCAACTAAAAGCACGCTTGCAGCAGTGGTCTCTTGAACATTGCCTGTTAACATTTCTATGTACGTGGCCCATTGTGGACTATGGCAGGAGTGGCGACATATGCGTCAATTGCAGACAGAGAATCTGTTATTGGCACTATGAACGATTTGGGGCTATGCATTCCAGTTGTAAATTGCTGAAGGGAAGTAGCTGTATTGGTACAAGAATAATATTGTGCTAGTGACTACTAGTTCAGGAAGGTTAAGCAAGGCTGAAAAGTGTTTTCTAAACATGTACAGCATGGGAAACAGGAACGTCAACCTTTCGTTGCGGTGGCAGAGTGGTTAATAGAATGGTATGGTGGCTGCATTATCTAAGTAGTACTACTCATCAGGAAAGAAAATCGAGTCCAAACAATGTCTGTATACTCACTTAAGTAGTGGTCTAAATGGAGATGCTACTTTTTGTTATCGCATGGTCTAACCCCATTGAATAAATACATTTAGGTAGCGGCTGTCATATGTTAGGGGAGGTCATTCTCATCAGTGATGTTGGGTTTGTAAAAATATTTGTATTATTTCTCACATGTGGCTTTAGTATATTAATGCCTATATGCATTTCCCTATCTCCAACAGAGCAAAACCA